CTTCCCCCCCCCCCAATTGTTTATTTCTGCTTTCTGGTTACTGTTTTGTGACCTGTAAACCTTTATATTTGTGACTTGTTGCTATGCAAAGATGTGTGAGGACAGAAATAAAAGTACTTTTAGCCCAGAAGTTTTCAGACATACCTGGGAAATACCCAGATGCATTTTTTCAACTATAGGAAAGACAAGTTGTCGCTTAAGAACATCCTCACTGTTAAATGTGATTAGTCTTAGAATTTACAAGTAAAGTGCTGAAATCTATTATTTAAATGTGAAAATACATCCTGGTGCCAGATATAAATAATTGACTCAGCTGACAGTCAGAGAACATTTGAGAAACCATTAAAATAACTGAAAATTTTAATTGAATTAATTCACCTTCTGTACCCACTGTGAAACTTCTATCAGCAAAGAGATATATATTTTTTTTCTTTTTTCTTAGGAGATGTTTCTTAAAATGCAGATGCAATCAAAGCACTAAAGGAATTTTTTATTATGTAATTTTTCATACCAAATAGCCCTGATATTAGCAAGTAATAATGGCCCACAGGTATGCAACAGGTCCCCAAAGTATGGCTCTAAATCCAGCCCTGTGGTTGTGGGCTTATGACTGAATCATCTGCCAGATGTTATTTTTTTCCCATATTATCATGTAAACATTTAGAATACATTAGTGACAGAAGCCTTGCTAAGAGCTTGCTGGGTATAAAGGCAATTTCCAGTGGCTTGGCCAGAAGAGCATGGTGCGGGGCTTTCCCATGGAGCAGTGTGTGGGGTGGCAATTTGCCCAAACTGCCACATTGGGAACCAGATTTCCCCATTGAGTTCATACCTTCTCTGAGCCTGAAACCAGAAGCTGTTGGCCTGTGGGGATGGAGGAGGAAGGGACTGTGGTTGGCTGCAGTTGCTGCCAGGGAAACCCTGAGCTATCTTGCAGGCAAGCCCCTGGAACTGCACTATGGAAAATATCCTACTGCGAAGAGCAGAGTCTGGCATTTTCGTGCATAATTTGCCTCTTCCACTATGTTTTTAGCAGAAATGATAAGTCATTCCTCTTCTAAGAGGAAATTTAATTGTTCAACTGTTATTTTATAAGAGGACAGTTTAAATGGCTTCTCTAGATACATAAGTGTGTGGCATAGGAGAAAGGACAGGCTATGCGATGATGGAAACGTGAAATTCCCGTTTCTCTGGGTAGCATCTACAAGAGTCAAATAAACGTAAAGCTCTTCAAAACAATTTTTGAGGTCTAATAACTTATATGTTATTGCAAAGCAATTTGGAATATATCAGAGAAAATAAATCCTGGTGATACCTGTAGGTCAGCATTAAGTAATCTCAACATAATCAAAAAATCATACCCAACTGAACAGAAATAACAAATGTAAATGCTTTTTATCATCCTACAGGCTTAGTAGAAAAAATTATTACTTCCTAAAGGTTGGAAAAAATGGATTAAATTGTTTTCCAAATGATGCACTTCTTCAAACATTAGGCTTCTCTAGATGTTATCTTAAAAGCTATCTGAAATGACTACAGAACTCTAATGGCTGTGTTATTAAATTCTATAGGGCTTTTCCCCAAAGGATATCTGCATTACTCTTGTGGCTCTCAGAATCTTATTATTTGAATAAGAATATCTTTAAATGAATGGACTGTTCAAACCATTGGGAGTGAAATACAGTGTAATAGCTCTGCACATTTTAAAAGATTTTTAAAAAGCCGTTAGAACAGTACGCATATTGTTACTGTTATTTAGTACAGTAGTCTATCATCTCATACAAGCTACCCTCCTAATTGCCCATCTCTCTTAAATGCCTTGAATGTAAACCATCTGACTCTGTGGTCACACCAAAGACATTAGAGAGAGAAAGGCTGTGTGTCTTTAGATTCATGTCTAAGGTTGATTGTATGTACGGTCTGTGGTCACTCTCTTCATCTGAAAGATATGGGGAGGATCTGTAGGTATAGTTGACCTTGACCTACAAATCTCAACTGAGCCATCATTTGACACTGAAGGAAACTGGGATGTTAGTTAGAAGCATCGCTACTGACAGATACAGAATAACAGACAGAAGGTGGGAGGTAGCAACTTGCCCTAAGTTGGTGAAAGTTCCTCAAAGGAGAAATGGAATCAGAGCTGTTGCCCATTTTCCCCTTCCTTTGCATAAGAACGTAGCTAAAGAAAAGTTTCACTGATGAAACTGTGAAAAATATTATGTGGGATTTCCAGTGCCCTGGTTCAGCTGACAACTAATTTGTTTTGCCTTTGCCTAGCAGGGATTTTCCATGCAGTGGGCTCTTGTTCGCTATGTAAGTCATCCAAGTATTTGTTAGTGTCATAGCCAGAGCCAGATGATGTTTATTCTGCTAACATCCAGTCGGACTCCGGCAGCGCTCATTGAGGTCAGGGCTTTATTTATAGCAGCAGATATACATTGAGATTCATTTTCTTTCCCTTGCTGTAATCTACCTAAGCTCATCCAAAATAGAAAGAAACATGCAGACATGCAAGTAATATACTAATCGGGCCAGATCCTTGAATTAGCACAGCACCATAGAAGCCAATGGTAAAAAAGCATTTTAGAGCAGCTGAGGATCGTGTCTATTATTTTTCACAGGGAAAGGAGGGTTTTAAAACCAGAAATTATAAAGCAAAAAGCAAAAACAACCAAGAAACAAAATGTCCCAGAACGTGGCAGAACAGGTCTGCAATGCAAAATCCCTCCATTGAGATCTGCAGTTTGAAGTATTTATTTTTTTCTCCTGTGTTCCCAGTCACCAGAGAGTGCAAGAATCAGAGTGCAGAGAGCTTGAAGCAAGGAAAAGTAACAAGACTTAAAGCAATTTACCTGCTGAAACTGAGAAGATATTGTCAACGTACGCAGTCTGAGATAAAGCAAAGCAGAAGAAAAGCTGCAGGTAAGATCCCCAGACAAGTGAGCTGAGGACCAACATGTTGGCTGCACCCTGGCAGATTCCAGCTCAGAGGCGCAGGGCTGCTTTGGGGATCTCTCTCTCTCTACCCTCGCTCCCTCTCTGCCTTGCCTGCTCTCTGCCTCTTCCCTGGCTGTGGGATGCGTGTGTGTGTGTGTCTGTGTGTGTACGTCTCTCTCTCTCCCTCTCCCCCCCCTTCTCCCCGTGCCTTTAGGAAGAAAGAATGCTAACCATTTCCCATTAAATCTTCTCCTTACACTAGACACGGTTATATTTAACTCCTGTGCTGGATCAGTTGCCCCTATTGTGGACATTAGTTGCTAAAACTGGGACACGGGGGATTCTGGTTTTGCTAACAGAAGCAAAAAGGCACTTTGGATAATAATAATGATGAGCAGGAAAGGGAGAAATTATGAACTGGACTATAAACAGCATCCTTCGGTGCAGGCAACCAGACACCAACGTTGAGATGGATAAAATCCCTGATCGATCATCTTCTACAGGTCACTAATTGCCTTAATGAGAGATGAGCAGTGACCTAACATCTGCTTACCACTGGTAGTTAGAGGCATACAGGCATTGCATTAATTTACAGAGTGCATCTCAGGCTGAGGGATGCCACGAAGGCTTCACAAACCACACAACAGATTATTATTTGGGATTTAAGTGAAAATGACAGTATCACTAATAGTGCCAGACATCGTAGGACTGCAAAGGGTTTAGTGACAGGGTGCAACAGGTGGAAGAAACAATATGTGTGCCATGATGGGGTGAGTGAAACGCTATCAGCTCTGGGGGTGGCGATGGTCAACACACTACACAGCACTGTGGGAAGAAAACAAACCTCTGACTCTCTGAAAAGCAGCGTGTGCCCTTGTTACCTGTACAAAAGCTTAGTGTTTCTGTGCGTTATTGCAACTTGCAGGGCTTTGCAAATAAACTTCTGTCCTCTGAATAACTAGAAACGGGATCCTCCTTTCTGCTTGGAATCTGACAGTGGTTTCCATGAAAAGCAGAGGTACTCCTTTGCTGTGAAAACCGTCATTACTCCCTCTCTTCCAGATGGAGATCATTTTCTTTGCCCGCTGTCTATTGTTCCTCCCAAAACAAACATGAAAATTGTTTGGATTAATTACAGAATTGATATTTTTTTTTAATCTCAGGAAAGTACTCATTGACAGAGATGATGACAAATCTCCCTGGGTGTTAACTCCTAGTGAGTACACCACTAAGGGGCAAAGCAATGTATTTCCACAATTCTAGTTAAAAAATCTTGGCTGTTATTTTCAAGACGTTGCAAACATATTATTTCTAAATGTAATGGCTTGATAGGAACAATCATATCTGCCTTATATATTTCTATCCTTAAAGGACGTTTAATCTAAAATGCTTTCTAGATGCTTTCTAAAATATCTTTCCAGTACTGCAACTCTTTGGATAACTGAATTTATTTTTTAAGTTAATCTACTTTATTCCACTGTCTGTTACTTTTTAGTATTTGGCTACTTTTAGTAGCTTTTGACCAAGACGACCATGCATTAAGTAAGTGTCATTAGTTCTCTTGGCATGCTGCATCCCAGAGGGAAGGGCATAGCTCCTGTGGAGTTTATCATGACAAGCCCTATGTAAGATAAATGTCCAGTTGCCTGATCGCAAAGGTAAGCAGTGGAATATCCTCATGCTAGAAGCCTGCATGAATGCTGGAAAAAAAATTACTCAAACACAAAAATGTCAAGATTTTATCAAAAGATTCACCTCTGAAAATGTTTGACGAACTCAATAGTTAGTCAAAGCAACAACTGAGTAATTTCAAATCCTCCTGAAATCTTCCTGCAGTCTTTTAGCAATAGAAAATTGGGTAAAAATTTGTAGTACAAAATATGTTCTATTTGGTAAGGAAATTAATTAATCCAATAACACTACAAAGACCCATATCTTTCCCCTCCTCCATCACCCCCCTTACCAATTTTAGTTCTTGGTTCTTCCTAGAACAGAAACAGGTTTAGGTAAAAATGCAACATCTTGCTTGAAGAATATTGCAAGGAATTCTATCGTAAACCACATCCACCCTCTGAACTGCTCTAAAGAAGATAGGAACAAGGAATATACCCTTTCCTCGCAAGACTGAGTGCTATATTGGAGGTGGCCAGAAGCAATACAGAAAGCCAAGGCTGTTTCAGAGTTAAAAAAAGACACATATAGTTAGCTTTGCAGTCATTCTTAGGTAGAGATTTTTTATCCACTTTTTTTCAGTGGAGAACCCTGATTAAAAATGGATGTTTTGTCAACATTCTCCTTTCTTTGGACATAGCATCTCCATCACTCCAAAGTCTAAGTCTGTTTGACCTTAACTGTCTCTTGGCCAACACAACAGGAAAGCTCTGTAGGCAAACGGTGTTGCAGAAAACATGCCAGCTTTCACAAAAGACTTGAAAGATATTTGGACTTACATTTGAACAGATCTCTTCATCATGATGTAGTGGTAGTTCATCAACTTGCTAGATTTTAGTGGGGCCACCATTAGGTCAACACAAAGGAGAGCTCTCATTACAAGGCAGCGAGCCAGGCCATATCAAGGTTTGTTTCCTCTAATTTTGAGGTATTGGCCCTACCAGCTAAAACTGTTGGCAAGATTGCTAATGATTTCAGTGGGAGAAGAATGAAGTCCCTTAGAAAAAAAATGGACAATATCTGCGGGCTTTTTGCTTTTGATTTAGTCAGGTGACAGTGCACAAGACTGACACTCCATGCTAACTAGCACTCCATACTAGAGGACAAGGATGTACACCTGGTTACACAGCTCATTTCTGACCTCCATGGCATTGGTGCACGTGATAGAGACAATCCTGAGGAGGGGAAGTGTCACATAGCAGAGTGAGTCCTATATGGTGTGAGAAACTTGATGGATGTGTGCTTTCCAGGCCTCTGAGCTATCATCTCTAAACTTGCTCAGCGAAGCAGTACATTCCTCCAGCTATTCCCATGGGCTCATGAAGTCAATGGAAAGCTTTTGCATCCTTCGAAGAGCTCTGCACCAGGTAGTTAAGGCCAATGATCTGAGATTAGATGTCGGTCCTTGTCTCTATCATCCAAATAGCAATCAATAACAAAGGATTTTATTTTCTTTCTTCTGTATTCACTGCAGCTGCTGTTGCTGGTGTAGTGAAAACCCACACTAATATGACTTCATGGTGCAACCACTGGAGCAGATCGCATAAATATTTGGGAATAAAAATATTTTCAATTTAGGGGAGAATAAATGAAAAAAAAATGTTGATATGAAATGATGCAGTTGCTTGAAACTGAATTAATATATACTGCATAATTGCTTGTCTCATCTAGAACTGCTACTCTGATACCAGGAGTAGCATTCATTGAATGGAAATACAATGGCTTCAACAGTATTTCTATTTCAGATAACATTAGCTTAAGAAAGAAACACAGCAAAGTTTTCACACTTCAGTTTCTAAGTCTTATAAGATACCCCAATGGCCTAAGTAAGAGCAAGGGGTTTTGAGGATTTGACTTAAAAAGCTGTTCTACAATGAGAACCTCAGAACCCCAAATGTCACCTGCAGTTTATTGTTCAAAGATAAAGATCCCCAGTTTTATCACAGGGAATCAATTGCAGATTTAAGAATCCTATTTTGAATAAATGTCATAGCAACTAAGAATGTCAAAAGCCGACCAACACACAACAAAATCTGCACAGTTTACCTGCTCACGTAGCACTTGCTTGATCTTTTCAACTCAGACTTGAAATCTTAGAAGTGGGTGGATGAATCTTCTGATGATCCTACATGTAAACAGAATTTATGAACCTCTATTTTCTATTCAAGAAAAAAAGACTTTTTCCCAGTCCAGTCCACTTTTGGTTGGCAGGTCCTTCATGGACAAGGGAAAATTAATGCAGGTAAAATATCATCAATCTCAGGGTTCTATATGAACACAGCTCTAGTCAGAAGGACAAAGATAATCAAGTCTTTCTAGTTCCAAAGTCTGAATGCTCTTCTGCTGAGTGGGGCAAAGGTAAAACAGCAACCCAGTGTTAATGCAATAATTCAATAACAGATCATGTCTGCAGAGTAGTACAGAAGAATTCTGTTCATTCAATTAGTGCAGGAGATGGAAAAGATTCTTTATAATTATGTTTTCCTTGTTAGATAGCTATTTAGCAACAATTGTTTTTCACAATAAAAATACCTGTTCAAGTTTGCACATCTGAATCAGTTACACCTAACATTTAGATTTAATACTTTGACAACATAGCTAATGTTAGTTTGGAAGATGGTATTATCTACAAGTATGAAGACAGCTGCTGAAATAAAAAAAGACAGTAAATGCAGAAAAAACAATGAACGGCTTCACCATTTCCTTGCTGGTGTATTGGGTCTAATTCAGAAACCCATATAGGAATAGACCCACTAACTGTGTGATGAAGTAAATTCAATCACATGAGAAAGTTGTGACTTAACAGTTCCGCTTGTGCTAGTCACCCAGTAGGGTATCAGGTCACAGGGCAGTTGGTCAGTTAAAGGCAAGCCAGTGCTAGTAAATCTTCAGATTATCCACTGGATGAAAAGGGCAAAGGTGGGACATTCAAGTCAAGACAACTTCCCAAAGCAACCCTTTCTGCAAATTAGTCACTTAATGGATGTTATATGTTGCACAACAAGCAGTGGCCTTCTGGCCTCCTCTTTTCTCTATACTCTGTATTTGATGAGATGCAAAGCTGGCTAGGGAACTTGATTTATTTTTATACCTTTCAGAGGTCATTTGTTTCCAAAGCAGCTCAGTTCTTCATTTTTTGAAAGTTCAGCTTGAAATGCTAACTTTGCACCTTTAGACCTATTTCAAAGGCTTAGCCTTTTACTTTTTTTCTCCTATGAGTAATGCCCATGCATACATTTCTTTTACTATTGATAATGGAACAAACTACATTGTAAAAGAGTTATGAACATGATTAAAAGTTATGGGATAACGTCAAGTGACTTCCATCAACATGATCAGAAGAACCCCACTGTGGCCTTGTAATGTTGGAGGGCACAACAAAGCAGAAAAATTTTAAAACAATAATTCAGCTGCTGACCTTTGTAACATTATTCTTCTTCCCCTTTCCTATTGGTTTCATCTGCCTTTTAGACCTTGCCTTTCAAACTGCAAATCATTTAGCCTTTGTCTTGGGATTGTCTAAAATTTTGCACAATGACAGGGCTGCCAGTCACAGCTGAAATATATGCATCTTCATAATGTGATAGACATGCAGAAAGCCTGTGCTTCCCTACAATGCATGCATGTGCTGTAAAAATCTATATAGGCAAGAAACCCATGGACTTGCTGAATGGTGATCAAATGTGCAGAAGGTTTGATAGCTCCTCAAGAAGTTCAGATACTAGATGGTTTTATTGTGCATACATAGTGTGCCAAATGTTCTCATTCTGCTGTATCTACTGCACAGAAGCTGAACATCATGCAGAATGGGTGATGCTTCTTGAATGAGGTGCACTCACCACACATGCTCACAAGTCTGCACAGAATCAAGAGATACATCGAGGACTGCCAGGTATTTGGAAATCCCGAAAAACATGCAAAATTCTAAAATCAGCCACAGAAAAATGTTCCATGGGAAAAAGAAGATTCCCATAGAAACCCATGTGTACAATGGCCTTGTCCTGGCCAAATGAGATCTATGGTTCCTGGCATGTAAGTAGATAAATAGCCTTTAACATGCTACAGTGGTGAATCACAGAAAGGTTACAGCTATAACCTAGTCTGCTCTTGATATTTACATCTAGAGGAGATGGAAATTGTCTTCAGGGTCATTCTTTCATCTTGTTTTCATTTGGATTGTCTACTGCTGTTATGTACTTCTATTAGTAAAGGGCTGCAGGAGCTCATCACCTGTACTAGTATCACTGAGGTAAGAGTATCTGGCAGTACTTGGCTCTCACGACTCTTAATTCAAGGGATTTATCATCTGGTTTGCCAAAAAGCCCAATCTTCTTTTTTCTCTGTTAACATTCTTGCAGGAAAAAAAAATATTGTTATTGTCTTAATGCTCACACTAGTCTTGGGACTCTTTATTCCAGAGAGCATCATGGATGCTGACAATGCAGCATCCTGTTCCCGATTTTCATACTGCACTACAGTCTGTTACACCTTTAAGATGCAAGGAAACATGGATCGAAACATGGGTGCGTACACACTTGAGAGAATGCCCCCTCACATAGGTACTGCAGCCTTTGGTAGAGGAAGACAAGTGGCCAGAGCACCACTCATTCAGGAACAGACTTAATCATGAGCAAAACCTCAGGCATACAAGTGAAGCTTCTCCTGAAGTGAAGCATACACATACGTGCCTTGCCAAATCAAGTCGTAAGCTTCAAATACCTTGTCTTTAAAATAGCATGATGCCTCATTTTCCCATGGCTGGTTTTCCTCTCATGGATATCTCTGGGCACTAAGTATTTAGGGATCCTGTGCCTTGCAGAATACAAAACTAGGAGCAGAGCTGCTGAACCCAACTTAGGGAACAGTAGCAGATGATGACACTCAAAGGTTCATCCAAAGGCTTCACAAAAGAACCAACATGATAAAGCTGGGGATGGGTAAAGAACTAGGTCATAGTAGAACAGTAGGAAGAAGTAGCAGTATGTTGTCAAATTTGCTTCCTTTTTTTTTTTTTTATTTTTTAAGCAAACGGATGGCCACAAGTGCCAACCATGACACTATGGCAAACAGAGTTCAAGGAGAGTTTTTTGGCACCATAGCTGTTGGGCAGCCCATATCTATGTTTTAAAACTGCCATGTTTTTGTAAGCTGATGGTAAATTTCATGCTGATTTCAAGGGGTGCTGGATCAGGCTGTTGGTGGAGAAGCTTTGTCTTTCTACAGTGCTTCAAAATTTGAAGCCCAGGCTGTACTATTACTGCATCAGCATACAAAATGGCTGGGCACTGCATGTTGCTCGGTCATTTTGGTGTGCCAGGGTTGTTGTCTTCCACATACAGGGTAACAGCTGAGCATAATCAAACTAGACAAATACATTTTCCTAGCTCCCTCTGCAGAATCAGGGAGCTATAATTAAGGTTGCATTAGCATTTCCTTTATAAAGTCCTACTTCTGAAGCATCAATCATCTGTATTTTAGACATCCCTACCAAGTGGCAACTTGCCACACATGGATGAAAACACTCAGAAAAATCAGCTCTTACACTAAAATCAGTAACAAAGGCCTTGCCAATTTCAACTACATAGAATGAGGCCCAGCATTAGCTGCTTATCTGTGGTAGCTTAAAATTCCTTGTAGGGCTGAAATATTAATTTTTCCTTCCATAATTTTTACTTTTTTAACACTTGAATGATATCCCTGTTTTTGTAGACCAAGAAGGTGGTCTGTTGCCTGGCTAATGAGGCTTTCATACCTAAATCCCTGCAGCTGTGTCTCCTTGCTGTAAGAAGGATGCACTGCTTTGGCTAGAACTTGAAGTGTGCCTGCAAGTCCACCAGCATTGGTATCAGCACCTCACAATCCCAAGGTCTACAAAATGCCATATGTGTACATGATCTTAACAACAGGGCCAAGGAGACAGATGACAAGTTCTTCAAACGCTTCAAAAAAGTGCCAACTTTTAATACTTTTAATGTGCTGATTTCATTAGAGGGACTTATCTCTGGACACTGTGGAGCAGCTCTAGCTTGGATGAGTGCCTGTGGGTATGTTGACACTGCAGTCACCACTGCAGCTGCAAGGTGATGCAGAGGTATGCAAATCTGCTGTAGCCACCATAAAGAGAGAAGAAAGCCCTCTCAGCCCAACAATCTGGTTCTCAAATAGGCTTGCAGGTTCTGCTGTTTCATGCTGCAACAGCTACAGCTAGTCATCGCACAAAATTCATGCCCAGAAATAAGCGATTGCTTTCTGGGAGCTTATGTTGTCGTATAGACTGGAGGTGTAAAAAGGCTTATATGAGTCTTTTACTATCTTCCTTATGTGGTAGCATTACCAACACTAAGTACTAGAGGAAATCTCCCATCAGCTACGTGGAAGATGTTCTAAACTGCAGACATTCACATGGCCATGGTCATTTACACAACCCTAGACAGGCTGTTAATCCATTTCTTCAACTCTGAAATACAGCAATTCAAATCTTGTCTTTGAAAGCATCCTTCCTCTGCATCCACTTTAGAATTTGATCCAAGGTATTACACAACTAATTGCTAACTGGATTGTCCAGACTGCTTGTAACTGTCAAAAAAGTAGAAAAATTCCAATTAAACTATTTTATGCAACCTTTTCAGTAGTATGCTTCCTTATCTTCTATATCACCCCCTTTAAAAGACTGATGAAAACAAAAATTTAAGAGTATTAACTCAAGCAGGAAAACTGTCATTCTATTAATTTCTCTTACTTATTTCTGCATTATTTCAGGCAGCCTAGAGATTCCTGGAAAGAACAGACACCAAAATAATTCTCATTTATATTAGTGTGGGCCATAATTAGCTGAAAGGGCTGCTTTACTGAGGGCCTCTTTAAACCTTGTCCATCTGGTTTCAATCAAATCATCAAAAGAAACAGCAAATGTCTCTGTCAGAATAGCTGTTTCTTACTAACTACAATATTCAGTTAAAGGTAAGTTAGTTGACAGGAGTTGCACTGCCTGTATGTCAAAGGCAATCACCTCTGATACCTGGTCTGACCTCAAAATATCACTGAGTAGGTGAGTGCCAAGCACCTTTCTCTACTAAGCACAGTCATCAAGCTCTTTAAATAGCATAAAAGAGCTGCAATTGGGATTTTGATTCCAACATATAAAAGAATGACGTAGTCAGGGCAGAAGTCCCTTACATTTCCTAACAGGACTTTCACTGTAGCTTACAGTCACTGTGTGCTAATTTCTTGGGTAGAGTGGCAGGCCTGATGATGCATGGGTGCTTGTTTTAAGTGTATTTGGGATTTTGCATGCATGCTTAAAAACCAAATCTTGCCTGACCCAGTATTCATCTGGTTCTTCATGAAAATGGGTATATGCTACACGGCCACAACTGAAGGCAAGCATGCATGACATACACCCAAATGTTCACATGGCAGACAGTTTACGGAATTTACTGCAGACTAAAGGTGAAACATAATTGTTAAAGTAATTACTGCAAACTAAACCCATTAGCAAGCTGAGTGCACCAAGAAGCTGCAGGAACACCTGCTCAACACCTTATGCTATCTTGTGTGGTGCTGAAACAGTAACAAACCTTCCTTCTCATCCCTTATACCTGGCCATTTCACTGTTTCACCTGTGGTCCCATAGTTAAATTACCTGCTGAGTTTTGGACATCTGTGATGCTTTTCCTGTACCACTTGTTCCTCCCAGGTTCCAACCCCTTTCACGCATGCCAGTGTCCTCTCTTTGGAGAGGACAAGTGCTGCTGGCCTGAACTTCTGGGTTCCCCAAGCACATGAACTGAGCAGGCCCCTGTAAGAAAAGTTTTCACAGCAACTACTACACTAATGACCGATGGAGGTCAACCATAGCAGGTATAGCAAAATTTAAAATATTCTTTATTTACCTGAAAGCCACAAGACTCAGAACTGTGTCTTATTTAACCACTAACTTCTGGTATGTCTCAGAAAATTACACTCAGTACCTCTTCCACAGCATCTTCTCTCAGCTGAGGGGGCCCATGCATTTCCTTCCTCTTGAATTTGGTGTCTTCAGTCTGTTCAATACCTTTAATTCTGTGCTCTGGCCTTGAAGAAAAATTTCCAGTTGGCTAAAGCCACATGGGTAAGCATTCCCCAGACTTATGACATCTGTAATTTTTGGTTCCTTTTAATAAAATTAGGACACTTCAGAGGTAGCTTGTTTTTGTCTCCTCTCTGAACCTGTTTTCTTTCACTCCGATGCAATCCCATGGTGTAACACATAGTATCAATTAGGTAAGCCATATAAAAATGTACAGATTTTGCTCTCCTTGATTTTATATGGAAATTGTGCACTCTCTCATCTCAAAAAAACTAATTATTACAATGTAAGAGTTTCTATTATGTCATGGTAGTAGTCTATGTTAAAGCTGAAAGAAATGCATTGTTAATCCTTTCAAGTTTTTTTAAAAGCTCAATGAAATCCAAACTGATGTTACTAATTATGTTATCGCCTCCCCAGTTTTGTATTCTTTGCTTTCCATTTTCCAGGTGTCTTGACTTAAAGTGAACTGTGCATGTTATTGTGTTTACACAATTTTCTAAAAATCCAGTGTAAGCTGATTTCCAACAGCTGACACAAAATACTGGCATAATTCAAACACTCTCATTAAAGAAGAAACAGTATGAAAATCACTTTTTATTAATTTTCAAATACAAACCAAGAATTTCTGCATTTGTTTATCCAATGCAAATTATCTCCCCTGTGGTCAGTCCCAGCATTAACTCTTACAGATATTTTACATCATTGTAATGGATTGTGTCCAATCACTGCAACATAGTAAAATCAATTTGAGAGTTAAAAAGAATGGAACAAAATCAGTGACAAGATCCAACGTTGTTTCATATTCCTTGCAGAACACCCCAGAGAACATAGTAACTCTGCCTTCTCAGCAGCCTTACACTCGTTTCTTTTTGCACTTCTTAGCCCTCCTAAGAGTATTACCTTCCTTGACTCCAGCATTCTTAGCGCCACATGGCTATTCCCACACACATAGCAAGTAGTGGTACTTCTAAGTAGATTGTGGTACTCTCACTCATGTCAGATACTATCTTTCTGTATGAGTGTGTAGAGACATTCCTCTGCCTAACCCACAGCCTTGTGTCAGACCTAGACTGAAGTGCAAGAACTAATAAGCCAAGCTTTCTGCAACAAATCTAATTGTAGGCCAGGTTCCCCTGTCAGGTCAGCCCTCCCCTTCCTCAGGTCATTCAAGTGCCTTCCACAAGTTAACACTTAATGTCAATGGAATAATAGACAATAAAGTAATCAAACCCCAAATCAGAGCCAGAATTTTCCCTTTTACATATGTAACAAAGAACCTCCCAGTGCATTTAAGAACAGATGTAAATATGAAGTAACCTGCTTAGTGAGTAGTTGCTGCAGGCCATGATAGAAGCATAAAGAACTACTTCACTTTTAAAGTCTAAGCTTCGAGTCGGATTGTCAGATGCAACAACAGATGAAAACACAGTAGAGAGCCTCAGGTAGGCCAACTGTTTACTTCAAATGTTACTGCATCAAAGACAGTGTGAGTTAGGCACTAAGTTTCTATACAGTAAGTACATCATAAGAACCACCTTTGTTGCACAATTAGTCAGCTACAGCATGAATGCTGGTAGTTGCTTTGTGATGTCAGCCAAACTGAACTTTAAGCTCCAGCCTAATGCTTTTTTTCCCTGTTGTTCTGTTGAGGGTTTTTTTTGATTTTGTTTTGAGGGGTTTTAAATTTTTTTTAAATGCTTCTGATTATAAAGATTTATGATCTATTAATCCTGAAAATCTCACTAAAAAATCCAGTCCTGTTTCCAGCCTACAGTGATGATAGTGCCTTTGCAAAGAACAAAGCTTCAAACAAAAATCTAAGACTTTTTTCCTACAAGCACCATAAGTCCCAGTTAACAATACCAAATGAAATAGACAAAAACTCAGCCCTTGAGTAAGATTGCATTTTTAATACACTACTTCTACCTGCAGGAGAAGCTGGAAAAGCAACCTATAAAATTATGAAGCATTTATCAACCCAGTAGGCTTCAATGCATAATAAGTCCAATCAGCAGTTTTTCACAAGATGCTTTGTTTTGGTCCTTACAGGACAGTCTCTAACAAGTAGTATGCTGGTGGTCAGTTAAAAATGAAGCTACTATAATTGCAGACTGCCAAAAATTCCTGTTTCAGTCAGCATAAAACCCTGACTCCAGAACATCCAAGATTTTAATTCACAGGTCCTGATGGGTGTGACTGAGTAAAAGTATATTTTATCATCAGTGTTTCTGTAGAATCTGCTAGAAGGCCTGGTGTACATTCATGTATCTTTCTAATTTTACAATTACTTAATTTCAGCATTTAAAGATTCCTCTAATAGCAGTTCTACAATCCCACTCTGTTTCAATGCTTACGTAAAATAAGACTTGTACCAGTACCACTTCTGGAAACCAATTTAGTTTTGCTTAGTGCCCTGCCTTGCACCACCACCATCTTCATCTACTACAGGTTAGAACGAGTCAGCCAGGGAAATTCCTGGAAGGAAAAAAAAAAAAAAATAAAAAATCATCAATGGACAAGCAGTAAGAGGATACAAATATGTATTAACTACCAGGTGGAATCCACAGGAAATAAAGACTGCTCCAAAACATTTCCATCTCATTTTGTCAGGAATCAAAAGGAACAACCATAAATTTTGGAAACAGTCATTAAAGAACTATGCATTAATAATAGCCAACAGGAAAAAAAACCCCACAAATCAAAAAGCCAAGCAAAGCGGATGGCACAGTGTAAAAACGCCCATTCTCCTATTTTCCAAATCCAAAGGCAATCTTTCTGCCTTGCAGCTATCTCTGCCTTCTCTAATACTTCCTGAGGATTTCAGAGGCTTGCCCATATGAAGCTTGCAGAAAAAGAGAACATGTACATACCTGTTTCTTTCTCTCAGACTGTGGATCAATCATTACATTTATAAGTGAAGGTGTTTGCTTGTCAGCCACACTTGCTTTCAGAGCATTTTGCAATTCTTCTGGTGTTTTAACAAAGTATCCTTTACCTCCAAAGGCAGACATGATTTTCTCATAGTGTGAATTTGGCAGGAGAGAAACAGGAGGTACACTGTAACACAATTGAAAACCTCTGATTAATGGCAGCGAACAGTTGCCAGACTGACCAATTTAATTCTTCAGCACTGATTTTAAAGTGTAAGCTGATTATTGTGCTGGTCTGATGAATTCTTCTGGGCTGAAAGAACTATGTTTCCTATGCCATTTAAGCTGTGTATATAGGGTAGAATACTCATTTCATCTTCTGGAGACATTCCTGAGCAGAGCTTTAGCCTAGTTCTCTTGGTATGGAGATCTCAGCTCCAGAAGCAGAAGTCAGGTGTAAATTTTTAACATAAGTCTCAGGCAATTTTGGAAATTATCATGATTTTGAGGCTTAGACCACTATGAACTCCATACTGCATGGCCTGAACTGCTGCAGTAAACTCAGACTTAACTAAGAGTGTCATCTCCATGCAGCAATTATGTTGGTAGCTTGTTTTTGGTAACTAATATGAACCTAGCCCTAGGACTACATTCACTTTGAAAGATTTCAATCTGGATCACAAAGCATTAAAAGAGAAGACAATGACCATTTTGGACACTACTTCCTTAATTTACTGGACATACTTTGAAGATGCTCACCATGTAGCAGGATCTCCAAACTTTAGCACCTCCTTCCAGGAATCTGCATCCAAACCAGTGTAAATCCCATTGTTGTTTACTACAATAATCAGGATTGGCAAGTTGTATCTACAAAAAGATGTTTTGGAAGAATTCTGAAATATTCGCACCTTTCTGCAAGGTGTTAAGTGTTACTTTTCTTCAAATTAAAAATGAAAAAATAACTTTCACCTGAAACATGATCTACTCATCACTGGTAACACGTTATGTCACAACAACATAAAAATTACTATCTATATTTTTTGGCTTGGATTCATGTGCTTTTAAGAGTGCCCCATCTAACAGCAGTGTCCTTGGCCACCTACTTAAATTGATCCTGGCAACATACAAAGAGGATCGTCTTGAGAAAAAAAACAGTTACCTGCAAATAGTCTCCACCTCCATCCCAGAAAATCCAAAAGCACTATCTCCTTCTATGCAGATGACTCGCTTTTCAGGTGTTCGGTCTTTAGCTACCATTGCAGCTGCTATAGCAAAACCCAGCCCAACTCCCATCGTTCCAAAGGTCCCTGCATCAAGCCTAAAGACAAAAATACAAAGTTACCATTCCTTTATTTCCACTCAAACTCTTAATCCATGGTGACTTAACTTTACTTTTACTAATTTGCCATATACTATTCAAACACTATTTCATAAACAATTGATATAAAGAAATACCAGATCTATAGATTATTGCATTCACTCAAACAGATTATAAGACCACAAATTTTTAAAGTTAATATAAATACACTGGAACTCTGATTAAAATTAAGAACTCTTATACACTAGTTACTCTACAATAAAAACTATTCTTGTATGCTTTTAGCTTGCATAGTAACAATATTTTCAAAAACATTCAATTACTGTAGAGATACAGAGACTACATGAAATCCTGCTATATTTAATTCCTTGAAAATATAACTAGAAGTCTGAAAGCCATTGGTTAAATACTGCTGTTCAAATTTTAGTCTTCTGTTCAACTTTTGAAATCAAATTGAGAGTTGTAATTAAGTTAGATCACTTCATCAGAAGCACATAATGGATACAAGAGTACATAAAGAACTAGATTATTCTAGGGTTAACTTTTCAAATTTGCTTTCAGATATGCACAATGCAATCTGAAAAGACAACCATTAACATTACAGTGCCCTTATTTTAAATAAGGGGGAAAATATGCAAACCCTTCCCCCAGCTTTATGGAAAGCATTTTTTTGTTGGTTGGTTCAAAGTAGTATTTAGGATAATTTAGGACTTCAGTGCCGCTTTAATTAGGTGGCACAAGCTTCACCATCAGATCAGAAGTTTCATCTCACCAGACAGATCTCACTTTTTCCTCCGCTTCAAGAAACAGCACTTAATTCCTACTTACATTAACACTAGACTACACATAATGATTAAAGTGACATACCAACACTTCCCAATTTGAGTGCTTACATTTTAGGCAAGCAGGTTTACATGAAAGTGTGCCCAATATAGCATCCAGTTTTCAAAATGAGTGGATTCTTAAGTCTTCCCTGTTTTTAAATGTCTTTCAAAGAAAAATTCTTCATATGAATTATTTTCAACATGACAATCCCAGTGACTGATTTTATTTTAAATCAATGTTCACCAGACTATGAGCACAGAAATAAACGTCTGGATCAGGGAATTCAACACGATGCTCCTCACTCACTTCCCACAAAAATGTGAGAAACTATCACCATTCTGTTGCAGAGCACACAGATGAGTCAGAGAATTAATAAAATCTATGACAGGACATCAGTATATGAGCAGAAAAATTTCCCTTAACCCCTCTCCCATCATACTAAACTTTTGGTTTTTATTTGGAACCTTTAAAAGTATTACAATAATTCTGTAACATCATAATTCTCAGCTAAATGAAGACATTTATACATAGATCTAGCCTGTTGAGTCAGCACAACAACAAAAAAAATACCACACCTTTGACGGGGATAATAATTTGGAACCATAGTTCGTCCAATGTCCATGGTGTTTGCTCCCTCACTTACTAAGATGCAGTCCTTGGGTATCAGTTCTCTGATGTGATGAAAGACTGTGTAATAATTCATTGGCAGGGATTTCTGTAATGCTAATCCCTTAAAAATAAGAGATATTAGTAACTCCTATGGATAGAATTTATAATAAGGTGCAGAACTGACACATGTAAATAATGATGGAAATAAAAATGCACTCTGCTAGGTAAGGCTGAAGTATTTGGTCTTCCATCAACTACATCAAGGTCACTCCTTCTGTATCTATCCTGGTGACACGTGTGTTTATCAGGGGCTCAACTCAGCTCAGCAACCCTTGGATGAGGAAGCTATTAAAACTGTTTAACCTGAGAGGCACATGGAATTTTTCTGCCCGTAGGTTTGACTACTGATAATCCTAAGTGAGCTGTCATCTGCGTGCTGGGATGTAGTTCAAAAGATGGATCTGCTAGAATGAATTTTGTTTACACCCCCATCTTGGAAACATACATCTGAACTTGCAGAATATGAGTTGCATAAATTTAGGCATATGCCAAGCATCTGTGGTCTTTTGGCCTTAATAGCTACTTGCTTTTAACACAGATTACACTTCCACCAGCACTGCTAAACAGTTGAACAGCACAGCTATAGCAGAAAACTAAGAATGCATCTTCATGTAAGCTAGCTTCCACTTGGAGTACCTGTCCATTGCTTAGAAGTCACTGCCCACAACACAGCAGCTCCGGCTGTGGTCTTCTACTACTGGCTTTAAGAACCCAATCCCAAAGTTCAATGGCTTCCACACAGCTTGAATTTAAACAAAACCTAGAATACTTAACTTACAATTAAGTATTAATACTTACAGTTCATAAGCCTGACAAGTGTAAGCCTGTACAGGAATAGTACAAATTTTCAAAGTCTGGGTGACATAACTGTCAGAAGTAATTGAGGATCTTTGGTATAGATCAATGACAAAACTGACTATGCATCACTACCTGTTAAGGCAAGAAACCTCCTCTTTTCTTGAATGTAACACTACCTTTGATCTTTCCTCATTGTACGTTATTTTGTCTCTTAGCCTCTTCCACCACTCCGAATTAGAAGGATATTTCAATGGTCTTTTGCTGAATTCTTCTAAGAGCTGGAACAACATTGAAATGTTGCAGAGATTTCTTTCAACATATTTAAAAAAAAAAAATTACCATGAGCATCAAGAATAATGTTATCAAGAAAGATCCCAGCACAATCACAGTAACACTAATTAGAATGTTTAACATCTCATTTGGGAATAGACTGGATGCACAGCATGAATATGTTGCCTGAAAAATTTTTTTTTTTTTTTTTTTTTTTTTTTTTTTTAACTGGTATGTGACTTTATATAAATCAGAGGAAATTAAGGTCAAAACAGGACACCTGACATTACGTTACCTGCTTAGTCACAGCGCTTATGTCACCTAATAAAATTGCAGCTGGCCTCACATTATTCCCCAGCTCTTCCGCACAAATATCGATCTATATTTCAAAAAGAAAGACCACCATTAACGCAAGGATATTAAAGAGGTTTGGTTTTTTTTTCCCAGTTCAAGTGAGGAACATTGTTCAGCAATATCTTCATACTGTCTTTTGGCTGTACAGATAACTTCCTCTGCCTTTCATTGAAATGACATCAGGAAATCCTTTATTCAAAGTAAAATACTATGGTACATACCTATTTTAATAACAGTTCATATATATCCTTAAAACTGATTGCTTGCTTCTTTCAAGCTCTTGCAGACTGTATAGAACTTTATTAGAATGTTAAGGAGAAGGGGTGTTTTTAGTGATATTTACGAGAACTAAAAATCTAGGCTTAGGTATATCCTTAAAGTCTATACAAAGCAGCAGTTTTCTTACTGAGAAAAGTTTGTATATGCTACTTGGCAGTTAAGAATTTGACTAGTATGAAAAAACTGAAAAGTGAATTGCAACCACTGAATAAACTTCCTCCCTTTCTTTATCAGTGGTGTATGAGACCTCTAAGGTTACATGGAATACTAATTTATGACCAGGTCACACAGATTATGAACTGAATTAGTATTTTAATACTAACCATTTACAGTGAAAAAAAATTACTTTGAGACAAAAAAAAGGAAATTTAATTATTTAGAAAAAGGAAACCTAAATAATTTACAATAATTGCTCTAGGCAATGCTAGAACACAGACAACTTCCTTCAAGTGATAGTAATTTTCCTGCTTACCTGAATAACCTTTACATCATGTCGAAACCTTGGTGGAAGACCAAAATGCAAAATCCAATTCAACCTTGCACCAAGCAAGATGATTACATCAGCATGCTGTAATGCCCTAATAAAGGGAAAGAAGAAAATCAGATAAGGAGGAGTTATTATTAAATAGTGTTTTGAAAATTAGAAGTAATCCTAACCACTAGAGCAACCCCCAGAATATACATATAATCCTTCCTTCCTCTAACCTGATTGCTTAGCCCCAAAGCCCTGTATCCTTTTACATAGCCAGTCAAAGCATTCTTGACTTTAGGAACTCGAGAAGAAAATTAATTACTGTTTTCCTAATATAGTGTGTTTGAGAAAGGAATCATTACACTATAGAGACTAACCAGATGCTATAATGATGCTGAGGTTAAAAGCAAAAGACTCACTGCTGTGACACTGGTAACAGTGGGTGACAAAATTAAAGACTGTTGTGGACCTCTCAGTTTAGAATCCTGTTAATCTACCTTTCAGCTGGGTAGACAATATTTGGTATATTCTTTAATTCCCCATTTTTCTTCCCAGCATGCTTAACAGTGATAAAGCTAAGATGCTCAACAACAGACAATATTTTAATCTCAAAGTATATGAATGCTCCATGTGCAAGCTGACTCTGTGCATATTCATATCTATTAAGGTTCTTACAGTCCATTCACATTAATTTTGCCAAAAGCCAAAAAAAGCTTATAAATGACTTTAAACACAGTCCTTCAGTGTAGCTTGAAATACCTTATTTTTCTTTTTAATTAAAGTGCAATTTAGTGATGGTGTATTGCAGGCACCATGCTAAGAAAGCAGATAAAACTTCAACTGCAATGTATGCATCTTAAGCTTCTGTTTATTGTGTTAAAATAAAAAGCTAGTAATTTGTCTAGTTAAGTTTAACAAACTGTTTGCCAGTTTCATTTTATGTTATGAAATACATACTAACAACATGGATACATCTACTTGCCATAGGTTTCATAGTTAAAGAATATTAGCTCTCAGAAAAAGTATCTTCCCAGCCAGCATTCTAAGCATTGTCAAAAGTGATCCACCTAAATCTGTTGTCTCTTTCCAAGCAAGATCTTCAGTGCTCTAAAATGAGGTGCAAAGAGTGGTTGAAAAATTTCTGCTGTAAGCATTTTGTCTTCCCTGGCATCTGCAGACCACCACAATTCCTAGTTGTTTGTCAGATGTTAGGATTAGAAGCCTTGCTTTATATTTACGTTGATCTTGCTGCAGCTACACAATTTGGATGGTTATCAGGAACTACTCCTTTTGCCATTGGTGTAGGCAAAAAAGGCAATCCACAGAGGTCCACCAACTTTCTGATGTTGTTTTCTGCATGTGAATAAGCAGCACCTGAATAAAATGAAAGAGACTGCTTAATAGTACAGAAACCTACCCTATTCACTTGAATTTAAATTAACCTGATTAATAGCAGAAAGAGTACTATTCCCCATTATGAAAGCTGCCTGTTATTTTTCATTTTGCAGAATTCAAAACATAACATGCCAAACCACAGGTATCTGGGTTCAAATTTCCCATATTTTTGACAAAAGCTGTTTTGGTTTTTTTTTTTTTTTTTAAAGATTTTGGCTGAACTATTTAGTTATTTCTGTGAAGCAGGACAGGGAAAAATTGGAGATTCAATTTATCTAAAATGACAATTTTGAGTGGGAGGCAGAGACTTCTGCAGCAGCAACAGAAGATGACCTTTGTGTTTTATCATGTTATTTTTGCTTGCCCCTTACATGCTGTTGTACCAGGTGCTCCTTAATCTACACAAACAAGTCTACTATAAGCCTTTAATAAAAAAAAATAAGAGAAGCTCAAAGATGACTTTGTAAAGATGTGTTTGTTCATACATTTACTGTTGCAACCTTCAGTACATGGCTGCTGAATTAAAGTTGCTCAGGCAATCTAGAATAACTGACTGGTCCTTATGCCATGACTTAAATCCATGAGTCTTAAATCCTGGAGAATAAACTTCTGTTATTTCTTCCAAAAATTCTGCTAACAACAATATATAGCAGAAAGTCCATATATATTTGTTAAGTAGATTCTCAATTGCTGACATCAAAACCACACATATCTATGTATTTTTGAGTTTTCTACCTTTCACTTTCAAAGAACACCCTTTTGTTCATGTGTATCAAAGCCAGATCTATCATCTGTCTACTATTTCATTACCAAATCAAAGATAAGATCCATCTTATCTCAATCATTTCACTCCCTGATTAAACACAGAACTTCCCTTCAAGACACAGATCATTTTGACATCTGAAGGAAAATAGCCTGGGTTAAACAAGTTGGCTATTATCTTCAACAGAAATGCAACAGTGGTGACCAACATTCCACAAGGAGGGACAAAATAAGTGAACTAGCACAGACAATAATTACCCTCTATCTTCAGGGACACCTCTATTTCAGAAATGAAATACCCTGTCAGAGTACAATGAAAAGTCTGTAAAACAGCAATAACAGCAACACCCACTGTGTTGCTTCATGTCCCCACACAGGTAGGCTGGCACTTTCAGTTAAGTCCAAATGGAAGAATGACCTTTGGTTATTCTGATTCTTGCTATATATGCCCGAGCATCAGAGAGAGAATATCACTTCTGTATTCTAACAGAATTTGTTTGGAATTTTGGAAATGATCCCTTGGTATTGGCTCTAGCCTTAAGACAATGGTTATCTGAATTTTTTCTTCTTAAAATTGTATTTTATCAATTGACTTTTCAACTAGATGAAAGAGACAACAGTTACACAACAGAATAAAAATGCTCTGAAAACAGAGCAGATTTTTAACATAAAATTTCAAATAAGTTTGTGGCTTTTGTTTCAGGTTTTTTTGTTTTAATTGAGAGTGAAAAGGAGATGGCTAACACTTATGGAAAAAAAAAAAAATCACTTTGGTCATTGTTCATGTCCTGAACTTGTACAGTTCAAAGCCACAAAGCATGCTACCTTTTCCAATGATTAGCAGAGGCTGCTTGGAATGAGCAATGATAGACGCTGCTTTGGATACAGCAGAATGTTCAGCCGTGCTGATAGGAGGCGGCAGGCAGCATTCCACGTACCTGGAAGTCAAGCAAAACAAGAGAGTCTCTTAAATGAAGAAATGTGGAAAGATAAAACCTATTGTTTAGCATAAAACTGCTGTTGCTAAACAGTGTTACAGCATTTATTGGAACAGGATATATTTTTTTCAAAACAGGCTTTGAAGTTTTTCTTGCATGTTTCTTTAATCTTACAGGTAGTGTTGTTGCAGAGATTTACAAAGTGATATCATCATATTCCCATCATACCAATTAATTCCTTTTTGCACATTTCATTACAAACTACAACCTCCATCGCATGTTATGATGGAACATCGCATTTAGAGGCTGGATATTTAGTATCATTTCAACCTCATGGCAATTCAATCTATTGCTCTTGTTTATCCTTTTCTGTTTTTAAGAAAAGAAAATACAAAAGTAACTTAAAACTAAAATGCCTTTTATTCAATGACTTGAAGAATAATGAATATAATTTTTACGCACTTGACAGATCTCTTATTCACCTGAAGATTCACAAAATCCCCAGGTATGTCAATATAGCAGGAACCTGGACGACCATATATGCTGGTTCTTACAGCCTAGAAAACAGATAATCACAGTTTTGACCACTGTTTGAAAGGATTTTAAAAATCTTTATATGTAAAAAAAGAAAAACCTTCTGCAGGCAGAGAAGGAACATGCTGTTTTGTATTGCTGAGCTACCATGGAGAAAGCTCTCATGAACTAATTCATTCCAATAAATTCAAGTTTTGACAGCTATTTACATTTTCCCCTATATGCCAGTTGAAGCCTTTTGGTAGATGCACAGTATTAGACTGTAAATTCTTTATTTAATTTACAATAAGGCAAATGCATTATCAGTTGTGTCTGGAAATACTAAATGAAACTTTCATGATGAATTCTATTTAAAGTAGCATGCAGGCATTCGTTGTCTTGATTTTTCTCCATTTTCTATTACTTTTGATTCTAATTATTCTATTATAGGTAGATGCTCTGCTGAATTTGCACTTCTGAAAATAGTATCATTGTATGCAGAATTTAGGCTGATGTGGCTGAAGTGTTGCTGCAACAGTAGCAAGAGACTTTTGTAGTCCTTCCTGAAGCACAGAGATAAGGACTTGTCATCTCTCTCTCTCAAAAAAAAAACCACCCAAACAAACAAAAAAAACCCAACCAACCAAACCAACCAAACTCAAAACCCAAACACAACCACCTCTACTGCTTCCCCTCCAAATCTCCTTCACATCATGAGGTGTGCTAAAAGAGCTGAAGTTTGTAGTATTACATTTCTGGTTATTGCATCCTAAAACTATTTCTTCCATAAAAAAATTTCCAGCTCTGACTGAAGCTAACAAAAAATGCTGCAGGGATCAGTAAGCATCAGATTGAACCAGAATCTATTTCTAACATCTTCCATAGCATCGTTCATAGGAAAGACCTCCCTGGTTGTTAATTTAATTAACCACCATCTAACATCTGCAGGACCAAACCATTTACAGTAACTATACAAAAAATAAACTCCCAGAACTTATATAGGAGACAGTTATTTGGTGTTCTGTTGCTAATGTAGTATTTTTTCATACCTTTTCAATAATGGCAGGAATAACTTCTAGGCTGCTTGGACGGACAGACAGTTTGTTGTACAGCCTACCAGCTTCAACCTGAATAAATGCATATAACCATTATATTGATTTATCAAAGTGATTTGCTCATTTCCATCTCATTTCAACATGAATAAAATGGAAAAAACTCCAAATGGAAAGCAATAAACTGAAAAATCCCACACAGGAAAATGCTGTTCCTAAGCTGCTGGAAACTGTCAAAGCCCTACTCATTTTTTCCCCCCAGAAAGTGGTGGCGTTTTTCTTGGAAAGTTTATTTTGTTTTCTTCCATCTCAGAAAATACAGACAAAGGCAATTTATACCAGCTGAGAACCTAAAACAGAGCATGAATTCTAACATGAGTATGGACAAAGACATTCCAGGTAATCTGCTGTACTTACACAGTGTCAATTTTGAACCAGTAGATGGAGCAAATCAACAACATTATAAAATCTGTCAGGAAATGTTAGTGTCTGGGATTGTTATTCCTAATGAAGAAATGACATTAATTATTTAACTGAAACCTTTATGTAGAAACTTGTATGTCTGCATACCTGTGGGAATTCCTGGAAAGCTCCCATGGTTTCCTGATTTCTGTCAGAAGAGCCTCCTATAACAATCAAAGGCCTAGAAAGGTATATTGGAAAAACTCAAACAAAACAACTTTAACATATATTTTTATAACTCTAATCACATCTGTAAACTCTCCTTATGGTCACAAATCCTACTGCTTGTGGGATGTTGTGGACCTTCAGCATCCACAGATCTCAATAGGAATAGAAAGTGACCAGCACAATACAGGAGTGGATGGATTCCAATATCAGCATGTCAACTGGTAGACTTCCTACCAGCTTTAGGATCACTAGTTTTAGGACAGTCTGGCCATATTAAATGATCTGCATCTAGCATAAAAGTTCTAAACTCAAATCATATTGCTATCAATTTTCATTCAAGTTTGATAAAATGGGTGGCAAGGTGGTTTGAGAGGAATGACAACAGCTAACCTAAAAAGCTAAAAAGTATTAATTGATCTAAAAAGTATTAAGAAGTTTGTTTACAAGAGGCACTGCCACGTGCACAGCCACTAGAACTAGGAAACAGTATTTTCAGAAAATTTAGATTTTTTTTGTATACAACTTGGAACACAGTTATCTGAAGTTAGCTGACTATCCAACAGCAGTTCTCCCTGCATTCAGTTATTAGTAAAAAACCCAAAAGACTTAAAATCAACATGTCTACAAGCAGTTCTGTTCTTAAATTAGTTCACAGCTATGTGAGAAAGGCAGCATTAGTTTGCATTATGCGTTATACATTCCACCGAAGCATATTTTTATTATCATTTCCACATAATACAATAAATTATTTTCCTGCGGTGAATGAAAAATGGTCTTTTATTCAGTTTGTAGGTGAAACTCCTTAAAATGCTAAATGTTGAGTCAATAAAAGAAATTTGTCTTATTAATCTGCTCATTCTCCACACTAAATTGAAATATTGGGTCAATACTTTCTAGACTTTTTCTCCTAAACAAATATCTCTTCAGATTCCTTTGACTGCATTTATCTATATAATGTATTATGCTGAAAGATTTACAGTGTGCTCAATGCATAATCCTAAATTTAATCACCCATATGATTTGGGGATATGTGTATCTAGATCCAAGCTTCATAACCAGGGCATTTCTCTGCCACGAATCAAAAATGTCAGTTCTAATCCCCTGACATGGTGAGATGAGAACTTAAGGCAGTATCTTACCTCTATGAAATATCTTTATAGAAAAAAATGCATTAGATGTATGCTCTATATATTTTATTCTGCTGATTCCCCTCAGCAAAATGATTATGACTATCCATATATAACCAGTCTGTTTCACAGTGATAAACCCTATGTTGCTTTCACTTATCTTTTCAAATGTATTCGTTTTAATAATCAAAAAAGCTACTCCTTCCCAATACTGAAATATGATTAAGAAAATGCTGTACTCTTAAGAAAGCCAACTCCAACAGCTATATCTTGAAAAGATCTGGTTCTGTTTTTGAAGTTTACATAATTGTAACCAGAAAGAATTTATTCCCCCAACAAAATCACTGTACTACTGTCACAATACACTAGATATTTTAAAGAGCAATGCTTATAAATTAAGTCAAAAACAACAGTGAGGCAGGGACAACAATCAATATAATGAAATTAATAATGGAACTAATAGTAAGTCTTATGGACTTGCAGAATAAAAACTTCTGTAAACTGAAAAAAAAAATTCAACTGCAACTTCTGGTAAAGAGCATGGTACCACATACTGAAATCATACCAACTATCAGAAACTATTATTTGGAATCTATTCTCATAGCCAAACTAAGATACAAAAAGTTCTGCTCATAATGAGACAAGAAAGAGGAAGGCAGCACAACATGTAATTTTTAACATGAAATATCAAAAGGTTTTACCCTTGGAAATGCGTTTACCAAGGCCTCATTAGCTACCTAGCTGGCTAGATTTACACGTCCAAGAGCTCACTGTGACAAGCTTCCAGGGCAAAGCAAAGGCTCTTCTACTCTGCCAGCCTGTGCTCAGGCAATAAAATCTAAAAGGACAATTGGTAGCCAACTGTGCTATCACACTGCTTGACTTTCTTCCAGTTGATCCAGGTGAAAGAAACCTTCTGTAAGAGACTGAAACTGAAAAGAATCAGAAGAATGGGTCTCCAGGCTCAAGGAGGACACCTCAGACTGAGCTTTAATGACTACCACTTAGTCTGAATTATTTAAAGTCAGAACCAGTTCAACTATTAGCTCACCTCTGTAAGAAATGAGCCATGGCTCAGTCACTGTAGCACAATAATAATGCCAGGTGTAATGTCTAGAATTGCATGACACCTGGGAGATACTGATGAGGGCTAACCTTGCCCTACAAATAGTCTCCTCCTGGCATTTCCTTGCTGGGGATTGCATAGAGCAGGAGACTTAACACACCCTGTTGCCACAGAAAGGGGAAGACCTCTCTAACTTCTGCTCTCAGCTGCATAATCCACTCCCTCCCTCACCTAGATGCTTGATGCTTGCCTGACTGCAGAGTGAGCCAATAGAGATTACTTATCTACCATGACATTATTTATTTATATTTGCTGGATTGGCTTTTTGAATAATGAACTGAATGTGATTTGCTGGGGCAGACAAGTACCAGAGCTGTTAAAGAGTGCAAGCAGCAGGAGTAATGGCCAGGAGAAAAGTGTGGAGATGATACAGGCCCATGTCCCTTTTAGTGGCAGACTGCATTAGACCAGTGTAACCAAACCACTCAGTGTGTATTCTATTTTCATCTCTTTTCCTTTGCTTGGGCTACTCCCGCTCTTCCCTTGCAACACTCCTTTTCCATAGCACCTGCTCAAGCATTCATGCTGCTATCTAGTCAAACAGGCTAGAATGCTGATTAGTTAACACAACAGAAAAATCCCTAGTTTATCTCTCCAATGCACAGCTTCCTTTCTTACAAAAGTAATGCCAGGTAAAACGTTTGAGATTCTCAAACACTCATTGGATGTGCCTACTAATGAAGGAGCCAAGGAAAATTAGTTTCACTAGGCTAAATTGGGGATTTGTGAACACGTACTTCTCTCCTTCTGGCACATGGCAGGCAAAAGGCAAGCCTGATGTAACCAATGAAATAATCACTGGGCAAACACTGGTTTGGTCAGTGAAATCCAATCTTCTTATTATACTGTCAAATCTTCTGCCAAACTAGATAAGTCACTCCCTTCACCTTTTGCCAGGAGTAAAGGTTTACACAAGATCAAGTCAGGTAAACAAACTTTATCTCATACAAAAATACATTTGTGAGAAAACAGAAATGTATCCTGCAAATCCACAAGCAAGTGCCATGAATGCATCTTTCTTATAACCAAATCCATGACTGTTCAAAGGCAAGGTTTGCATATGATCTTTTTTTCAGTCTAAGGTCACATAGGGACAGCAAAACTTTAGTCAATGACTCATTTTTAAAAAAGAATCTGAACACTGCAGGTCTTTTTTTAGTGTCAGAGACAGGATTTGTTAGCATTCTTGTTACTGAGCTTCCCTTGTCCATCAGCCACTGCTGATCTAATACTCTAGATCACATGCACCTGGTATTACCAGAGCTTCTAACTAAAATACATCATACAGCTTTCTGAACAGCTTTCAGTGGTAGACCAGCTGAAGTTGCCATGTCTCAGTGAAGGCTTGTGGGAGTAAATGCTCCATACATAATTTAATTCAATACTTAATTACTTCTCCAAATGTCTGCATGGGGAGCAAATATGGATTTTAACATTGTAGTTGTCGATTTGTTCACATATGAAATACTGTAATTCAAAGGCAATGTGGATTTAAATTTAGAAAAAAACCTCTAAGACTCTCCATGATCAATAAAGTGTTACAGGCTGAGTACTGACTTCATTTTCAAATGTATCCATACCATCAGATATATTGATAGATTTTCCAATATATGCGTAATGGGTAGGACAAAAAGGAGTATTTATCTATGAGAATACAAAAGATGGAACTAAATTACTTTTAGGGTTGATAAATGAAGAATTCTCTTCTCATCCACAGAAAAGAAAAAAAAAAGTCCTATACTAAATACTGTGGAGTTCAACATCTGCAAGAAATAACAACAAACAATTATTACAAATTTAAAGGGAAAATGTAGCTAAATTACCAACAGTTCATGGTTGCATTTGCCATCCCACCAAGGGCATGCAGAAAACCTGGACCAGACACTACAAGACATACTCCTGGTCTAGAGGGGAAAAAAGAAAAAATAAAAAGTGAGCACAAATAAATCACCAACAATAATTAGTAAGATGCTGAAATATATAACATTAAAGTTTTACTCATATCATCAAAATGCATGAACAACAAGGGATTTGTATGAAGGACTAAAGATAGACATAGGAATCAGAACTCATTTAGCTGTATCAACCCAATGGAAAAAGCAAGTGAACAGTTGTTACGTGTCACCCACACAGAACATATGTAGGCTCATCATAACACAGCTCCTTACTTCTTTTATTGCATTTACTCCATCATCTAGATTTTATATGGAATTTGGTAGGCCACTTATATTTGCAGTTCTCTCAACTCCACTTTAGCATAGGTATCAATGAAGAAAGCTCACAAAGGAAGAAGTGCATCTGATTCGACACAAATCTTACTATAGTTTAAGTCAGGCAGAGGCACTTGTTATTCCAGGTGATGAGATTAAAATGACAATTCTTAACTACTGAGCATTTTTTAGCAGCTTTATACTCTTTAAATATCAGAAAAAAACACAACCAAAAACCACAAAACAGCTTACTTCCAGAGGATTATTCAAAGGAAGAAAAACTACAAAACCATCTAACAGGTGTCATGCTTGCAGACAGAATAAGGAATGATCACCTACATCACTGGGTCTGCAATTGTGAGCAAGCAGACAGCAGATGTTTACTTTAGAAAAGGATCCATGGGATAGCCAAGAAGCACACCTCCAGTCACAGGCTACAGAATGTTTCCCAACAACATTAAGAGCAAAATACAGTAGAAAAGAGAAGTCAGTACTTCATGTCAGAAGCAGCACAGGGGAGATTGGAAGGCATATATTCAGTCTGTGTATTGACAAGGTATTTGTTGAATAATATGCCCAGAAGGTAAGATTAAGGTATAGTGGGTCCATCAAGTTGCAATGAACAACGGTGGCATGATTTCTGCTCCTCATACCAATGGTGTTAAACTGCTACTTAGACATTAAAAAGAAGAAAAAAAAAAAAAAAAACCCAAGAAAGTTAAGATAGACAGTATCATATGAGCTTAAGCATTTCCTTGTTCCTGCCCTGAATCATAGCAATAGAAATACTGATAATCGTTAGTTATTCTAAAATTCATGTGCCATTTTAACTGCCCTACATCTGCACACACTAAAACCACCCAGCTCCAAACCAGAAAAACATTCCTAGCCTCTAACTGCTGAGTGTAATACAGTTAATATTATAAATATAAATAAATATGGAATGTACCTGCCAGTCAAATATCCAACAGCAGATGCAGCATAACAGGCCTATAGAAAATATTGGAGTTAATTATATAGTTATTATTATGTATACACATTTCATGATACCTTGTACATAACTTTCAACAAAAATAGTGAAAATAAGCAAGTACAGATTTTGCCCTGATCATTAGAGCTTAAATGTAAGTAGAAGCAGCCCTTCACCCTCCCCATTGTAAGGTGTGTTCATGAAGGCTTATCTGAAAATTCTCAAAACTCATCTCCACATCTCAGGCTTCTGTTGTTCCAGGGTATTACATTAGGAATATTTATAACTAAAAGAACAAAACCACAACATAAAAGAAAGCCCCCATAACCAGAGAAGCAAAATGAACAGAACAGCGTAAGAAACTTCTGCTTTCCAGACTAGCAAGGAAGAGGGATTTACAAGAGTAAGGCAATAAACAGAAATCCAGCCATGACTGGAATGACTCATTGTATTTCAGAAATTAAACAGAAGGTTGAAATCACACACTGGTGAGATTCATTAGAAGATTAGGGATTGTCTTTCACAAACTGCAGTACTTCTCAATCTATTTCTGGTATCATGTTTAGTTTTAGCTACTTTGACATTTCAAAGAAAAATTGTATTTTGAATAATTTTCACAGAAGTAGTGCCTACAACATGTATTAACATAGCTTAGCAGAAGTATTATTACAGAGTATGCTTTTATGTTATTCCTGTACTAATATTAAACATTCAGATATAAAGTCCACCTGGTAACAAGACAGTATGTGACCAAGTAGAAACAGAAGCTCATGGGTGACCTCAGTACTCTAAAGGAGTCATACATGCTTTTTGTCTTGAATTCAGCAAGCTCTAACGCTTAATGGAAAGAAGTAATTTTGCAATATATTTTTTTTAAGCAAGCTCCTGGCCTTATAGCTTGCTTCTTTCATTTTGAAATAGAGTTGGGATTTTGGTTTTTGGATGAGTAATTCTAGGTAACACAGCATGATAGCAATGTCAGCTTAAATGAGTGAAAACACTGACATTATAAGCAGTAAGAAGAAACTGTCTTTAAATATCCTCAAGCTCCTACAGATACAGACCAACAGAGTAAAAACCTGGGGCTTCATAGAGGAATAATAAGCAGCCCTTACATTCTTTGCAGCATTAGAATAGGGAATTGTTGACAAAAAAGTACACTGACGAGAAAAATCTACTCCTACTTTTCATAAGACGCTGACATAGAGAAATGTCACTAATATTCAAGAATTCAGTAACAATTTGATGATATATCTATGTGCAAAAGTTTAGAAGTATTTGGAGTAGATGCTACTATAAATCTTGTTTAATGGAGCTCAAAGTATGGTGTTGAGTTCCCATGGCAATCATGTTTGAGAACTGAGTGGCAAAATAAAGCAGCACATAAAATCTGAGTTCATGTACAGTCATTGCCATTAAAACTTTTACTGCTTCATTCTGCAAGGAAGCAACATGACTACATCTATCTGTATTTAGAAGTGAGAAGATCATAAATAATTTTGAAGGTATACTTAAAGATTTTTTGTGTGTGTCTTAACAGTAAGAACAAAAACCCATTTTACTTATGAACCTTGCACCACCTCATTTCCTTCCCCCTGCCCCTCCAAAAAAACTCCAAACAGAATAATGGTACTCATCTTATTTGTTAAGGTCAAGGTCACAATACAGTTGATCAGCTGAAGCCAGATCCTTATTTTCCTCAGACAGGCAAGAAGATCATAGGCATATAAAATGCAAATGACCATCAAATCCACAATCAACATTAGAAAGAAATGTAGGAGGTCCAGAAGCAGACACTGAACTCAAAGTTTGCAACCACCCATGAGTGCTGGGTTTGAACTGTAGCCAAAGCAGAGGCCTGTTGCTCCCATACAAGCAGAAGAACACTAAGTAGAGTTTAATTAAACTATTCTGTTTTCAACTGAAGACAAAAGCAAACTAATACAACACAGCTAGTAAACAATGGTTAAGCATTTCTCTACCCAGTGGTCCTGTTAAAATAGTACTGCCGTGCCTAGGAGCAGGCCTGAAGCCCTTATGTTAACTGTACCTAATGCTAAATGTTCCTGTAGGACTTGTGATCAACTTGTTACGAGAACTTGATTTATGAACCTGAGCTTGGTACATGATGTCTTTTGTTATGACATACAACTTCAGTGTAGGCTTTGAAAACATGGACACAGGTTTAAAGCCGCAGTCCCAGAATAATAAGCCATCTGCTGATGGACAATTACTGGTCACTGAAGAAGTGCAACCTGAGAGCTGGGAAGACACTCCTTTTCTTTTAGGAAAAGCAGCAGTGGCTAAGCAAGGGAGGAAGAAAAAAAACCCCAAAACCCACAAAATCAAAACACAAACCCAGAACAAAGAACAACCAACAGATGTAGACAGGATAAGGCACCTGTTTTGGTCTGGGAAAGTCACATCCATCCAGCACTACACAGTCCAGGCATGGAAGTCAAGGGGCAAGACCTATTCAGAGGCCAAAACGCCTTATAGAAAGATATCTTTAAGGGGTGGAGGAAAAAAGACGTCCACTTTGATTCTGGCCACCCTTATTGAAGGGTTCTCCAGTGATTCCCTTGACAGCTAGCACCATTCCTGCTAGCTACGTTGTACCAGCACCACCATATTATATACTCACAACTTATTTAGAAAATTATTATCAGGAAGATATCACTTTGAATACATAGTGATACTTATTATTAAAGATTAAGAACTAAACATTAGCAAGGTATATTGTTAATGAGTAACAATATAGTAAAAGTTTTTTTTTTTTTTTTAAGTTTAAAACTTACCTGGGTTATCAGTCTCCTAAACAACCACAGCAATCTCTAATTACCCAAGGACAGGTACAGAAAACACATGCACCTATCGAGTTGCAACATAACTATGCAATGCTCAAGAGGGATATTGGACACAGGTTAAACTGCTTCTGGTGAACTTACGGCATGTTACAGGCCACAGGAGATGAGCTACCAGATACTAGTAGTGCTATTTAGCTTTTAACTTTCATGTTTTAACCTTGTCTTTATAGTCAAGCAGTTTATTCTTCAGTTTTACAGGCTTTTGCTACATCTGGCCCAGAAACAATGCAGAAACTCAACCTCTGGAAAAAACTGTGTTTTCTGTATATCTCAGATCATATACAGTTGCCTTCACCAATAAAGGAAGCAGCTATATACACATCCTCCGGAGCCAGACCACACAACTAACAAACTTGGACAATTAAAATCATGACATCTGCAAACATTAAGTGTATCTTGAATATACTGTGTATAACCTTTTACCCTCTCCTCTGCCAAGCAATCACTCTGATCTTCACTGAAAACAAAGAACCAAACAAAACCCACCACAATATATATCTGTTCATAATTTTCCATTCTCCAAAGAAGAGAAACCCTAACATTTTGATGTAAAAAAAAGTCTTCATGTTATCATTATTGCCCTAAGCAAAACTACCTCACTATTACACACCAGAATGCTTCTTGTCTTCTTCAATCTAACAGAACAGAGCCTAGTAAAGAGTGATAAATAGGACAGAATCTCATTTGGCAGTGCAAAGCAATCTTTTCTGTTAATTACAAACACATGAGGAAACAAATTTTAATCATGTTAATAACCAAAGCTAAAACTAGAATACTTGCAAAATAGCCTACAGGAATATAAAGACTGTGTTGAATTCCCAATCCTTCAAAGGAATCAAATATGCTTTTTAAACATATTTGCATATGTTTGCTCTCACATGATAACAGATTTTCCATAGAGACACACGGATTCCTCTACAAATTCCTACATTCCAATATAAGGATGTAAGGATTAGACAGCAAAACACACAGCTTGTGACCACCTGATTTAGGAGAACTACTATTTTAATACTTTATTGATTTCTAGATACAATCCATGTAGGCTATGAACCACATAGTGGAAAACAGAACACTGCTGCAAAATACAGGCACCTGAATACTATGCAGGTCCAGAATATTAAAAGGAGTTCCTTGTAAAAGTGGTAAAATTCTATTAATAGAACTTGTGGAGACAGAATCCATAAAAAAGTTAAAACACAAGAAAAATCTCCTCATAAGGTAATAATCAAACAATTTGTTTATTTGCTGGCATCAACAATGGAAAACTGAAAATGTAGCAAAGCAACTCTGAGTATGGAAAGCTGATGGACCATTTACTAGGAGTTCAATATAGAGTCAGCTTGTGTAGCAATCCTTGAAAATGAGGTAGAAATCTGAGGTTATTATATTCAACTTCAGACCACTAAAGAAATTACTGAATGTTTAAAGAGTTACTGCTGGGGAAAACCAAACAAATCAAGAACTAGTGGTGTTAACACCAAAATGCTAATGAGCTTGAGTCTAATTTCTGATACCTAGACAATGAAACTGAAAAATACACAATTAAGACTGTCTCAGTGTATGTGTTCGATTTTCATCATTCAGAAGCACTGTAACTTTCTATGGTTTGTTGTTTGGTGAGTTTTTAAAAGGAAAAAAAAAAGATACTACAGTTATTGAAAACAGTCAAGATAAGTTTCTCAGCAGGAAAAACTCTCCTCTTTGGACACTGCAAGAACAGAACAGAGACAAGTAAAAATCTGCTTTTTTAAGCCTCTAGGGAATAACTCCTAAGTAAAATATCCTTCTAAACAAAAAGAAAGAATAGTAGCTAAGAAAGCTCTAAAAAGGGAATTAAAATACTGCCAAATAGAGAATTTTAATATTGTCGTACTTTGGAAAGTAGGACATCAACAAAAGAAAATGACGGGAGAAAAATTTAAGGGTGAAGTAAAGTCTATAGAAAGCTACAGAAAACCAACAAACCTGGAGGAGCCTCCCCAAAAAATGGCAGACAAAACCTGAAAATATATTACTTGAAAGAGACAAAATTATAATTTTTTCTTCCTGCTATAGAACACTTTGTTCAAATTATTCTTCTCCCTATTTTCATCCTACCTTCTCTCCCTTATTGGAGAAAAGCATCTAAAAATGAAAAAAAAGAGTTGTAATTCCCTATGAGATAAGGAGGGAGCACTTAAAAATGGAAGGAGGAAAAAGAAACACCCAACTCAATCCACTAATGCTCTCCCTTATTCTAGAAAGACAGTAACTGCTTCTCCACAGGTTCTTTAAAGAACATTCAGAAACCACATTCTTCCTGGTAAAAAAAGGTAAATTAGATTTCAGTCATAAAGAATTGGTCCTGCTATAGATATATACTCACGGCTTGTTCGTTTCTCATTCCTACATATTTTATTCCAACTGCTTGGGCTGCAATTGCAATTTCAGTGACTGGAATACCAACGATGCCAAACATGTATTCAACATTCTAAAAAGAAAAGTGTTAAATCAGAATTGTTTCCAAAAGATAGCTTTAATAAACATGTGAAACACAGTCGTATGAACTACGCAGTCAGTCTAAAAGTAACTTGTAACAACATATATATTCACATAAAAGTTCACAGGCCACATGCAATGGTAGCTGACATTTGCAGCTCTGTTCTCCATGGTTGTACCAACTACTTGTAGGCTTCCAAAATCCAGTGCTTCCACAATTGTTCAGCCCAGCTTCTCAGTCAGCGTATGCTTATCCTTTTTTAACTGACCTCTTCTTATCTGGGATGTCTCTGCTATACCACCTTCCTGTTTCTCAGTAGGTCAGCTTTGCCTCTTCTGAAAATTCCTCGTATTGTTATATGTTCTTATGCTTTCACGGAGAATTGACAGAAAAAAAAGTCTCCAGAAACAACGGGGATTGTACCATGCCTGAGAAACTTACAGACGAAAAGACTACGCTTATTTTTATCGCAACTAAAATAACTTTTCGTGTATCACAGGCCAAACGAAAGTCCTTCGTTAAGACCAGTGCCAGTTCAGCACCATTTCTAAAGTTTAGAGACAACAAACTTCTGAGAACTGTGAGGGTGGAGCTGCCGCGGGGCGCCAGCAGTGCTTGACGGTAACGACGGTATCGGCTGAGCCCGGGAAGGCGCCAAGTTCGTCAGAACTAAGCGAAGGACCGGCGAAAGCCGCACTGGGCTCACCACCTCACGCCTGCCCACACGGCGCCGGGAGCTGGCGGGGCCGGGCCGCTGCCGGTCAGGGCC